TGGTACTGGTGGCCAGGAAGGGTACAGAATGTGTAAGGTGCTTTAATTATCAAGGAAATATTCTGTAAATGTTGGAGGAGGGGAAAGGCTCTGCTGTTGAAGAAGGTGTTAGGACCATGTTGTAGATGGATTCACTTGGTAGGCAGAAATATGTCCTATGTCACAGCTCAGTGACCTGTTGCTTTCTTAATCTATTAAATAGTGCCAACAAACTTGGGTCAGGTCGTTTGTTGTACTGGACATTGACCTGTTTCTTTCCTTTCACTAGTATCTAATTTGCTAGGGTGGGAATTGAGCCAAATGTTTGTGATTCTAGTTTGTGTAATGTGTAAACTATTGCAGAAAACTTGGACAGAGAATGAGCAAATCATTGGAGGTGGGGCATAGAGCAAGCAAATATCCTCACTTTGCCTGCCCCTCTAATGCCTTTGCTATTAGAGGAGGGGGGTGGTGGTGGTGGTGGTGGTGGTTGTGGTGGAGGAGCACTTGAGTTATCTGCTATTTAGTATTTCTGTTCTGGGATCTGGAATGGAGCAAGCAAACATCAGAACAGAGCTTTTATTTCTGCAAACTCATGTATAGATCTAGAGGAAGCACAAGTGGCGTGAAACAAGAAACCATGCTCCCTTTTAATTTTGACGTCTGTTTTCCTTCTGCTGTGCGTTAAGTCTTATACCTAACAATCATACTGGAATATCTTCCATCACTTTTTGGTGTGTGTGTGTCTCTCCTGATGGATTTTACAAAGAGAGAGATTTGCCCAGTGTTTGTTATCATTAATTCCCACTGTTGCTGCTGCTCTCACAAGGACGGTGCTAAAGAGGTGAGTAGGATTTTCTACTGTATTGGAGAGGCACATGTAGATTAAGTAAGGAAAATTGCAATTGTAGTAGCGCAGTCTTTCATGAGCAGGTATACTGGATTGATCTGAGTTCACATAAATTGTGCTTGGGTTTTCAGTTAGTGGGGGACCTGATCTTGTTTTTACTAAACTTTAAATGTGTTATGTGGGGCTAAGAGTCTTGGGAACATCAAATGTATTGGAATAATGGAAACTGAGACTGTTCGTCATCTTCCATTGTTTATTGTGACTAGAGAGGTGACTGGTTCTCTTCTGAATAATTATAACAATTTATACTGTCATAGATGGTACAAACTGTACAGAAACTGAGGGTGACTTAAAGTTGCAGCTCATGAACTTTTAAAATTGATCTTAAGGAATCTTATTGAAAACATTTCTTTAGGTAGCTCTTAGTCTTGCACAAGTAACTATTTTTCTTATGCTTCAGTTGCATGTAACAAAATGGTGCTCAGTGAGCTAAATGATTTCAAAATCCCAAATTCATGATGCATAATTTTTATCCATTCTGTTTTCACTACTTAGCTTTATTTGGCATTGGAATAATTCATTGTTGACTTCTCCATAAAAATACATGGAGACACTTCTGAATTGGTAAGGGAAGAGAATTGAGTATTCATCAGTACAGTTTTCTGGATGAAATCTGGATCTGAACCAGATGGTGTGGATCATGCAAAATACAGCACAGTGAGTGAGTGAGAGGGAGTGAGTGGCATTGAAAACTATTTTAAAAAAATGTTTGAGTTTGTTCAGCGTTGCCTATGTTAGTTCTGATTTGCTCAAGAATACTAGAGACTCCTGTGGAATTTCAGAACATGTTTTCTGTTGCATTAGGTAAATTCAGACTTATTCTGCAAGATGTTTAAAAAATCAACTAGTGATGTTGCGAGGCTCTGGCTGTGGAGCTGGTAAATAAATGAGAGCAGCCAGTTAGCAGGTTTCTTGGAGTGGATCCGCGGACCACCTTGAGAAACACTACCATAAACTTATTGACTGTACTAATCATTTTATTTCATTGGTTTACTGAAATACATTTTCCCCCAAGATTCTTATTTAACAACTTACATCTGCTGCTATCCGTGATGTAAACTGGAGTATATGCAGGCTGTTACATCTTTCAGGACTCTAGTCTCTAGTTTACTTAGGGTATCTCTGCACTGCAGCTGGGAATGTAACTCCCAGATTGTGTAGACAGAGGCACACTAGCTCGGTTGGAGCTAGCATATGTCTGTTGCGGCTCTGGTGGCAGAACAGGCTAGCTGCTGCCAGAGTACAATCTTCATGCCCCCTCCCAGTCTGTACATGAGTGACTAACCCGTGTCATGATGTCAGACTCCTGTTATCTTGTGTCCATCTGCCTAAACTGGGAGGCACACTGCTTGTTGCAATATAGACTTAACTCTGTGTGCTCAAAATACATGATTTCTGGCCAGGAAACTGGGATGTAAAATTTCACAATAAATCTTGTAGCCAAAGTAACCACCTTAGGAAAAAAACGCTGCTCCAATTTAAGCTTGGAAAGTGACCATATTTGAAGTAGGGCTGTCAATTGAGGTGCGTTAATGCCTGCGATGAACTCAGGGCAGGATTAACGCGTTAAAAATATTAATGCATTAATTGCAGTGTTAATGCTGCACTGCCCCTTGGAAAGGCCGCCCCAGTGTTTCCAAGGGGCAGCGCAAGGCGGAGCTGGCACTTTGAAGTTGCACAGAGCCTTGGGTCAGCTGGGCACTCCAGCTGATCCCCAGCTTTGCCTTGTGCTGCCCCTTGGAAAAACTGGGGTGGCCTTTCTAAGGGGCAGCTCTTCATAGTCGGGGTCAGCTGGGGACTTCAGCTGATCCTGGACTCTGTGCAATGCTGCCCCCTTTGAAACGCTGCCTCTGTGTTTCAAAGGGGCAGCGCAAGGCAGAGCCGGGGATCAGCTGGGGACTCCAGCTGATCTCAGGCTCCTGCAGTGCTTCCCCTTTGAAATGCCGCCACTGTGTTTCAAAGGGGCAGCGCATGCGATTAATTGCTATTAATTTTTTTAATTGCTTGACAGCCCTAATTTAAAGAAGAATTTAGCTTTGCTACTTGTTAGTACTTTAAGCAGTAAGATCAGAGACAACAGGAATTTGGGGTGAACTTTAAAGATTAAGATAATTAAGATCTACTGAAATGTAGTACAATGCTTGCTAATGTCTTCCTGGAAAACTGGCAGATGATACAGCAATATGAGCATGCATATAAAGTTTACTCTTAAAACTCTGGTCTAGTGTCTTAACAGTGGAACCAGTGGCCTTTGAGTTCTCAAGTTAAAAAAAATTCTAAAAAGCATTCTTGGTGTTCACTGAGAGCTTGCTCCAGGACTTACTTTTTTCACACTGTCCTTTTCAGTTGTATGAACCTTAGTTTCAGGAATTTTAATAAGCTAAAGTTTAGAGCAAGGAAACAGGCTGTCCAGAGTAGATTCAATTGTTGGATTTTTTTTTTTTGTGACCAGCATACTTAATTTTTGGTTATTAAATGTGTATCTCCATTTCACTAGGTTCATGAATAATGTGTATTAAAACTGTAGCTAATAAAGAGATGGCAGTAGTAATCTGGATATGAGTGCATCTCTCACTCAGTTTTCCCTGAGGTAACTAACCTCTCCCTTCCCAGCAGAGCCTCGGAGAGAGAATAGACAATGTAGCATGTGTGGATGGTCCACAAACCATCCTTAGAACAGTAGATATGGGAATCTAATCTAGGAATCTACTGAAAATACTATGATAGCCCCCTTGCATTTAAATGAGTGACTGTTAGCCTGAGTTTTAGTTTTGTGGCTCTCAACCTTTTCCCTGTCAGGACCTCCCTCCAATTAAGCAATATGGGAAAGGCGGAGTAGTTTGTTGTAACCACCAGATTGAGAACCCGGAGAACAGTTTTTGTATTGGGGTCTGCTGATGCACAGAAAAATCTGTCAGGCCACACAAGTGAGAAATAAAAAACCCCCAAAACCCCTTCATTGATGTGGCCTCCTGACAAGTAGGACGCTTCACACATTCCCCTCGCACAGCAGAGTCTAGGGTGCCCATGATAGTAGATTTTTGGTGGCTCCCCTTGGCTCTGGGGTGAAGCAAAAAATGAGGGGTTCAGTGTGTGGTGGGGGGGCTGCTGGGAAGTGGGCTTGGGGTGTCAGGTGTGAGCTGGAGAGTTCAGGAGCAGGTTGGGGTGGTGAGTCTTGGGGTACATCTAGACTACATGGCTCCATCGACGGAGCCATGTAAAATAGTTTACTCTGCATAGTCAAAGAAGTGGGGATTTAAATAATTCCCCCTTAATTAAAATAAAAATGGCCGCCGCACTGTGCCGACGATCAACTGATCCAGTGCGGCAGTTGAGACGCGACACCGTCGACAAGGGAAGCCTATGTCAATCGTTCCGGTATGCCTCGTTTATAGTTTATTTGGCTGCAAACTGAGTTTGTTTGGATGTCCCAAAATATGAATAAACACAAGGAGCTGATTCCTCTTTTAATGTATTGTCATCTTCAATGTTAGGTTGAGATGAAGACTGAATAAAGTGAAGCCCTGTAGTCTCAATTCTGCATTCCTTAATGTGTGCTCAGCCCCCACCAATATCAGTGGGTGTTGGTCATATCAGTGGGTGTTCCTGTATATTAGGAATGTAAACAACTAGTTGATTATCCGATAAGCAAAAACTTATCCGATAGTCAACATGCTAATTGACAAGTTGCTTCCCCCCCCCCCTTGTTGCATCTATCAGAGGTATGGGGGGGAGGGCGGGGCAAGGGAGGGATTGGTGGAATGGGTGCTGGGGAAAGCCATTTTCCCCCAGCTCTAGCTCCATGGGAGGGGGGAAGGGGCGCAGAGGTGGTGCTCCACGTTTGAAATACACAAGAGTGCTCTGGCTTCCATAGGATCCTTATGGAAAAGCAGTCTAGGAATCTACTGAAAAGATTTTATTTACTGTTTCTCAGCAGAATGCTTTTGTGTTGCTGAAAGTCTTCATAAAGTGTTGCCATTTAGAGCTACTTGTGTAATCTTAACATCTGTGCTGACAGACTGTTCTGCCTTCTCAGACATTATTTATCTTTGAGAGGCTAAGATATAGGCTTCCTTGTTGCTGTATCCCCACTGGTACTTTTGTGTTCCAGGGAGTCAAGCCAGCCAGCTTTGATAAAGTAGCAATTCCTGAAGTGAAGGAGATCATAGAAGGGTGCATCAGGCAAAACAAAGATGAAAGGTAAGCTCCCCTTGGGTCAGGATAGTTGTATGTGAACATGAAGGCTCTGGAATATTCCTGGAAGACTTCCAGTACTATGTATTGAAAACTTTCCAAATATGTTGTACATATATTCTGATAAAATGTTGAGGTTTTGAGCTGTCATGATTAACATGATACTGGGTGCGATTCATGCTGTTCTATATTGACCACATTGCATTGGTTCATTTATTCACAGTAGTATTCAAACCCAACTACTCTTTATAGTAGAGAAGTGATGCTTTATCTTACTGTGCCTGTACAGCTAGACATCACCACTTGTACTCAGCAGAGATGTATTGTTTGGTATAAAATCTGTACCAGTGCTTCCCAAATAACACAGAAGTTGAAAGCTAAATGTAGGACATAAGACCATAAACTGAAACCTAGGTAAGAGGAAGTGTGAAATGAGGGATTATTCCTTTCATCAAATACCCACCTCTCTTCCATTTAATCTCTGAAGCCCAGTCTCCTTGATATCCATTAATTGTGGGAAGGAAGATAGGTGAAGCTCTCTCCAGCTTGTGCTGAGCGGGATAATGGAGATCATAGGTCACTGATATGTTGCCATGGCTGTCAGAAATGCATATCTCTAATGGAATGAGACAGAAGGGTAACCAGAGAGGAGATGATTGGTTTGGAGACCATCTTGAATACTGACTTGTTTCATTAAGAGACAATGTCTGCTGTGCCCAGTATGTGGACTAACAGATATATTATGGTACTTTGCCATTCATGAAACTACACTCGTTTCAAAAGTTCTTACGAAATGCTGTCCATTTTTAAAGTAATTAGTGCGATGTTATGCTTTATAGGATTAGGTATTTGGAGTAGGGATATCAACATGTAGATGACTACAAGATTAACCGATAAACCTGGGTTTATCTTTAAATCTTGTTAACTACATGCATTCTCCCCTTGCTGCCTCTGTATCAGAGCCAGCAGAGGGAAGGAGTGGGAGTGGGAGCTGGAGGTGGCTCCCCATGAGTACTAGATCTGACTGCTACCCCCTACCTGTGCCCTGTTGCCTTTGAGAGGCACCAACATGGAATTGAAGGGGCAGGCGGGAGTTGATACATGTGAGGAGCTAGCTTTTAAGGTGACTCTTGCGTGTGGTGGCTCCGTTGACCTGCCTGCCCCCCTCCCTTGCTGCCTCCTACAGAGGAAATGGGAGGGGGAGGCTGGAGCCAATTTAAAGAGGGAACTAGTTTCCAGAGGCAGCAGCGTCAGGGGGTAGGGGTGGGTACCACGAAGCAGCTTCTGTGTGTGGCCAGCCTAGGCCCACTGTGGACAGGGTTGCTGCCACACCACGCTGCTGCCTCTGTCTCTGTCTCAAAGGCAGCAGCATGGGGCAGCAGGCAGGACCTATTTGCTCAGGGAGCTGGCTTCCCTGGTGAACCAGCTCCCATCTGATGCTCTGTGCTGCTGCCTCTGATAGGGAGACAGCAGCATGTTATGGCAGGGGGCTCCCTGGGTGTGGGGCTTGGAGTGCACTGGGTGCTGGCCCCACCCCCAGAGACTATTGAATAGTTGTGTAACTGCTAAAATGTGATGTGGTTACATGACTATTTCATCACACGCTATCTAACATCCCTAATTTGGAGTGTATACGTAAGTGAATTTTAAGTCCCTTACTGTTGTTGCAGCCTTTTGCATCATCTTGGGGCTAATTTTTTATTACATTTTAAAGTTTCAAAAATTTTGTCACTGGAAAGGGAAATTGAAATAGCTGTTTTAATTCCCCCCTCAAAAAACAAAATGAGTAGCGGCGGAGTTAATGGGAGTAGTATGAAAAGATGGGAGTATAAGCTTTTGGGAATCACCATTCAAAGGAGGAGGAAGTTTCTTACTGATTTGTCAGAATCTAATTATTGGTATTTTTTTTTCCCTTTCAACTTCTCTGCCCTGGTGTGTATAGATATGCTATCAAGGACCTTTTGAACCACGCTTTCTTCCAGGAAGAGACTGGAGTACGGGTAGAACTAGCAGAGGAAGATGATGGAGAGAAGATTGCCATCAAGCTTTGGTTACGAATTGAGGATATCAAAAAGCTTAAGGGCAAATACAAGGACAATGAGGCAATAGAATTTTCCTTTGACTTGGAGAGAGATGTCCCAGAGGACGTAGCACAAGAAATGGTAAGGGTTGTTGTGCCTTTTTTTGGATGTTTATACCCTAGCCTCAGAAGAGAGGCTATAAACTGCTATGCTTTTATTGTCCTGGCTCATATAAGGGGATGAGGGATTGATTGTGTTTAGTGCTAACCTTCAGAGGAGACTGGGAAGTTGAAGATCATATAGCAGAGCTGTACTTGTTTGTATTGCTCTGGCAATGTGTGATCTGACCATTGCTTGGTAATATGAGTTCTGTGAACATCCATATGTCCTCCTTTAGGTGGAGTCAGGATATGTCTGTGAAGGGGATCATAAGACAATGGCCAAGGCAATCAAGGACAGAGTGTCTCTGATCAAGCGAAAGAGAGAGCAGCGCCAGTTAGTGCGAGAAGAGCAAGAGAAGAGAAAGCAGGAAGAAATCAGTCAGAAGCAGCAGTTGGAGCAGCAGCAACAAACAAATGCTACTCAGGCAGGGACAAAGCAACTTCCATCTGCCACTGGTATCACTGCCATCACCACCACTTCAGCATCAGTTTCCACACAAGTAGAGCCTGAAGAACCAGAGGCTGATCAGCACCAACAACTGCAATATCAACAGCCCAGCATATCTGTTGTGTGTAAGTATATTGCCTCAGGCCATTCATAATGTGCTGCTACCCTCTTTAATTGTACTTACCTCCTTTTTGGGAAGTCTTACAGATTTCCCTTTCAAGTGAAAAATCATGTTACATGATACCCCACTGCAGTGCTTTTTTTTGGGGGTGGGGGGAAAGGTGCTGGTACTCCAGGTGGAAAGTCGTTGAGTGCAAAAAAACAAAACAAAACTGGGGGCTGAAATGCCAGCGCAACCCTTTTAACAGCCACGTGTCCCAAGCAGTCTTCTGTTGGGAGCCAGCTGCTCCAGGAAAAGAGGTGCCCGTACACTCAAGGGGAATGCAATCCATTTAAGTTATGCAGAGAAAACAGGTGCCGGTACGCTGTCCCATGGTGTACCGTCACAAAAGCACTGCCCTACTGTGAGCAGAATTATCAGTATCCAAAAAGAGTTGTTGCGTCATTTCTTGCTCTTGCTTCTGGAACTCTCTAGTAATATGAGTGAGAGAGGATGAAAAAATGACGAAAGGCTAGTTGACCTCCTATCTATATATGCACTAATAAAATGAGAGAGAGAGAGAAACATAAAGTTACCATTTGACCTGTATAGGCAGCTGGGTATTAAGATCTGTTTTTGATGTAGTCAGACTTAAAAGCTACACCTATATCTGCCAGGCAGTGAGGTTGTTGATCCTCTTGAAATAATCCTTGTTCATGTTGATTCTGTTCTAAGTGTGCATGTGCTAGTGCATGTAATCAGAGATTTTTAGCTTTCACAGTATTTGTAGGACCAACTATAGCGCCCCCTGGAGTGCTGTGCTCATGCGTTGGAATATTACATCTCACCCGACCCTATGCCCTCTTTATTGCCTTCTTGCCACTCATGACAGTTGGTTGGGATACCTTGTCTTGCATTGCAAAATTGTTAGCGATTCCTGCAATCCATTGTTTTGTCTCTTTTGTCACTTAACTCTTTAAGTTAAGCATTCTGAGTAGTAGTTTAGGAGTTAGTCCCAGCTGGATCTTCACCTTGGAGCAGAGAACTCCTGACTTTTGGTTTTAGGTCATGTTCATCATTCAGGCAGCCAATGCCTATTAGTGACCCCCTGGAGAACTGTTCAAAGTGTTTTGGGGGAGTCCCCCAGAAAAGATTAATGCAGGATCTGCAAAGTCTTCCACCCTCAAACTTAGAGTGGGTTTTGTGCTACCTCAAAGCCCTCTTGATCAGACTCCATGTTTGGCAACAGCATGCAGCTCACCATCGGCACCAGAATTGACTGGCAGTGTACCACCTCCTTGGTGCCTAAGTGATTGAAGTCAACAGGCCCATTGGCATGGCAGAAAAAGGAGACTTCGGGCAAAGGACCCATGTTAGGCCACCTGGGAGTAATTTGGGGTACTGCTGCAGTTGCATCCCAATCAGGGACCCTTCTTCAACTCCTGGGAGCAGCAAGGGATCCCAGCTCCTTGTATGGTCATCTGTGCCTATAGGTCCAGCGGCCAAAGGGCAAGTATGCTAACTGCCATTGCAGACACCAAACCAGGCAACTGACTCAGCCAAGACTCTGGCATCTACAGGCAAGCTGGTTATAAGACCACCTGTAAAATATCAGAGCATCCTTGATTCCCAGCACATTGACGTTAGACCCTGGCACTGCAGCCTCAGTGCCTGATTAGAACACACAGGTCTCCAATGTTAAGATCTGTGCTTGAAAGGCATAGGACATCTGAGTCAAGAGGCCAGTCCCTGTACCTCTTCCATGGGCACTCTTGTCTGAGTTCAACGCTGTGCAGATCACCTTGCTGAAGTGGTCTCCTAGGCATTGATACTCCCCCAGATGCAGGATGGTTCCCAATTGCAAAACCAGTCCCTGGCTCCCCAGTAGGGATGTGAATGTATAGCAGAGTCCATGGTTAATCAATGAGCTTGGGCTCATTGGATAACTCTCTGAGTTACATACATCTCCACCCCTTCCCCCTGCTGCCTCTGTATCAGAGGCAGCAGGGTAGGTGCAGGAGGTGAGAGCCGGTTTTTAAGCTGGCTTCCTCTGTGTGGCAGCTACTGTGGAACCAACTGTCCCGCCCCCTCCCACTGCTTCCCATAGAGACAGTGGATGGGGAAGCCAGTTCTCACAGGGAACCGGATGAGCTGGCTCCCAGTGAGCACTGGCGCCACCTGACTCCTCCCCCTTCCTGCCACCCCTAACAGAGGCAGCAGCGTGGGTGAGAAGAGGCAGGTGGGAGCTGGTACATGTGGGGACCTGGCTTAAAAGCCATCTTCCCATGAACATTGGCTCCCCCCCAGTGTGTAAATGTGTACTCACTGAAATTTTCAGTGGGTACACATTTACCCAAATAAACACATTTTAGCATCTCTTCTCCCTGGTACTACTCTTCAGGCAGGCACCAATTCCTGGCCTCTCCTTACTGGTCCCTGGCATCTACAGCTCTGCCCTGGTCACCAGAAAGGCCGCAGTCCTAAGCCTAAAGAGTAGTTCAGCCACTCACCTATAAAAGGTGAAATGCCAGGGCCCACAAGACTGGCCTGGCTTCTGTGGTGGCAAAGACCCATTCAGTGTCAGTACAGGAACCTATGAGGTGTACCTGTTTTGCTAGTCCCATACTCCCCTCTGTTCCTCCTAGGCTGCATCAGACAAGCTGTCCTAGCACAGCTGCACCCAAGTTGGAGTACAATGTTGAATCCAACATGGATGACAAAGCAAGCCCTAATGCTCAAGGAGCATCCCCTGGAAGAGCAAGGGAAAGTCGTCCCTCCTTTAGCAGTGCTGTCATCTTCGTCTTCCCTTTCCTCTACCAGCCTGCGTCTTCCAGAGGTGAAGGAAAGCCAGAGGCAGGTGGTGTTCTGATGGTGTAATCCCTGTCACATCCCAGGATCCACTCCCCTGTGCTTTCCTCAACTGTCTGTGCTCCTTCTGGTTGGCCTTAGTGTAGCTGACCTCAGATGGATGCTAGACTTCATAACTATGGGCTACACCCTGGAGTTTGTGGCTATCCATCCCTTCCACTTCCTTTCCTGTTCCTCTTCAGGAGCCCTTCTCATTAACAATTCCTTGTTCAGAAAGTTGATAACCTCCTATGCCTGGAGGCAGTAGAGGAGGTCCCTCCAGATCTTACGGGGGAAGTGTTCTATTAAAAGGTGCTTCAGACCCATTCTGGACCTGCACTACCTCAATAAGTCTCTCAAGATACTAGTTTTACATGGTGTCTTTGGCCTCCATTATTCCCTCCCTGGACTGGGAGACAGGTACTCTGCCCTCTATTTGAAGGATGCATATTTCCATTTTCCTGGGGCACAGATGTTTCCACTCTTTTGTGTTGGGCGGCCACCATTTTCAATTCATTGTGCTGCCTTTTGGTTTCTCATTAGACCTGGGAGTGTTTACAAAGTGCATAGCACAGTGGCTACTAATTTGAGGTGCCAAGGGTGCAAATTTATCTATATGGCTAATAAAGGGCCAGTGTTGGGATCAGGTGTGGCAGTATCTTGATCTAGTTTGCTCCACCTGTCACTACCTGGGGCTGTTAAATGAGAGAAAAATCAGCCTTACTTGCAGCATAGAGTTCATCGGAGTAATCTTTGATTTTTACACAGGCCAGAGCCTTCCTTCCCTAAAATCTGTTTCAAGCTGTGATGCACTTCATCTCGTGCATGCAAACCCACTGTCTCATCACCACTTACTTGTGCTTGTGGTTGTTAGATCATGTGCAGGCCTGCATTTGTCATGAGGCACACAGGGCTCCACCTCAGGCTCCTTCACACAGGCTGGCGTAGGGATATGTTCCCAACAGACAGAGCATGGACCATGTGGTCAGGATATCCGACCATGTACTGTTGCCACTCACATGGTAGCAGAATACTGCATCAGTATTGGAGGCAGTTATCTTTGCAGCTCTGTCCCAGTCAGTGAACCTCCTCTCTGATGCCTTGAATTTGGAGTGGGCTCCCCAACTTGGCGATCCCAGTACACAACCTCATCGGTTGATGTTTAGGGAGCTATCATGACTTGACATCAGGGAGCTCAGAGCAGTTCACTTAGCCTGCCAATCTTTCCTGCCTCTTGTAGAAAGCCGAGTGGTCCAAATTGTGATAGCTACTATAGTGCCTATGTTCTATATCAACCAGTAAGGCAGGGCCAGGTATTCCACCTTTTGCCAGAAAGCCTTCAGACTCTGAAACCGTGTAAAATACAGCATCCATCTCATAGCCACACACCTCCCTGGCATCACAGAACACATTGGAAGATCTCCTCGGCAGGACCTTCTTGTCTCTCCACGAGAGGTTCCCCCCCCACTCAGAAGTGATCAACTTCATCTTCCTGGAGGGGCGATGGTGCTGTTTTCATCCAAACTGAACAGGAAATGCCACAATTTTTGCTTGATTTTTTGGGGGATTCGCAGAATTAATACAAAAACCACAACAGTCTTTTGCAGCTGAACCTGGTGGCACTGCATCTGACAGTGGCTAAATATGGAGGAGCAGAAGTACATGGCTGCTGTCCATCGAGTTCTGTTGGGCAGCAGAAGGCTCTCCACTGGAGTGATCTGCCTTTCAAATAGTAATGTTTTTCTTCTTGGAACTCAGCTAACTGTATTTGGCCTCAGAGCAGTTGGTCCTGGACTACTTTTTGCATCTTGTTTAATCTATCAGGGACCATTTTGTTGCTATCTCAGGCTTTTGTCTGCTCTTTGAGGGTAGGTCGGTTCTCCTCCAGGACATGTCTGCCAAGTTCCTTGAAGGCCTTGAGTGCCTCTGACCTTCTGTCAAGGATACCGTTTCATCATAGGGCCTGGATTTTGTGCTGTCAAGGCTCACAGGAACCACCCACGCCCCCCCCCCTTTCCCTTTGAGCCTCTGTCTTTTTGCAGTCTCCTTCTGAAATGGAAGCTTGCAGTCCTACTTGTGATAACCTCTGCCTGCCAGCTCTGAGATTAGGGTGCTTACCTTGGAACTGGCTTATATAGTTTCCTACAAAGACTACGTTCAGCTGTGGCTGCAGAAGGCTTTCCTGCTCAAGTTCATCTTGCGGTTTCATACAGACCGGACGTTTATTTGCCTGTCTTGGTTTCCCAAAGCCTCAAGTCTGGGGAGGAATATAGTTCCCATTCATGAGATGCTTGAAGGGATTTAGCCTTCTACATTGAAAGGATCAAACCATTCTAGAAGTTGATGCAATTGTTGGTCATGGAAGCAGACAGGATGAAATGTCATCCAGCGTCTGCTCAAACTTCTTGTCACTGTCTGCATTTGCTGCAACTATGACCAGACAAAGGTGCCACCTCTGCCAATTGTAGCTGCTCGTTCAACTAGGGCACAAGCCTCTTTGGCAGCTTTCCTGGCCCAAGTACCTATCCAGGGTATTTGTAGGGCAGCTACCTGGTCAACCATCCACAGTTCACATCCCATTATGCACTTACTAGCAAGCCTGAGATAATGCTGGCTTTGATAGAGCAATGCTTCCAGCTGCTAGACTGTGATCTCTGAGCCCACCTCTGAGGATATTGTTTGAGAGTCACCTAGAATGGAATTGACATGAGTAAGCCCTTGAAAAAGGGGGAAAAAAGTGCACTTACCTTTTCATAGTTGTTCTTCCAGATGTGTTGCTCATGTCTACTCCATTATCTGTTCTTCTCTTCCTCCTATGTTGGAATGACCTGCCAGAAGAAACTAAGAGGTTGTAGTAGTGTTGGTGGCACCTAATGTACCAGTGCACGAGTGCAGCACTCAAGAGGATGCTACAGTTGACCTAATGGATGACTGCTAAGGCAAAAATTCCAACCATGCATGTGGGTAGAACACACCTAGAATAGAATAGACATGAGCAACACCTCTCAAACAAAGAGCTATGAAAAGTTAGGTAACCATTTTTAGACTAATTTTATTCTTAATAAGTAATACAGTATTTAAGTACTGCCAGTGTGCTGAGTCTGGAGAAGGTGGGAAGACATCCAACAGTCAGGACACATTATGACTAATATTGTTGCATGCAGATAGTAAAGTTTAAGGCCAAGATTGTGAAAACGGTGCCTAAATTTAGACTTCCAAACTCATATCTCAACAGCCGAATAAATGGCCTGATTTTGAAAGTGCAAATTACTTGTAAAATCTGACTTAATTTAGGAAATACTCAGAGCCTAACACTTCAGAAAATCAAGCATTGTAGATTTCAGAGCCTAACTTTAGGCACCCATTTTTGAAAGTATTGGCTTGTAATATTCAAGCAAGACTGTAAAGCGCGGTGTCCCAACATTCTAGCCATTAGCCACGTGTAGCTAGTTGGCTGGTTATGTGTGGTAGTTCACTATAGTAGCTGCTGCTTAAGAACTGGTTAGATACCACATCTGTAAAATTTGTGAATCCAGAACACACTTTTTGAAATTAGTCTTGTGGTCTTTATCTGCAGCTGATGGGGCAGCTGACAGTGGTCAGGGATCATCCGTTCATACTGAATCATGTGTAAGTAGCCAACAGACTGTGTCCTATGGTTCCCAGCACGAACAGAATGTCTCAACAGCTACAATTCAGGGATATACTGCTTCAGTTGGTCAAGTGCAGTCTCAACAGCATGGAGGATATCAGCAGCCCACAGTGGTAAGCACAAACCTCAAAAGACACACAGAACACTATGTATTACATACTTTTTTATTTTTGTTTTTTGGCATACTTTCCTTTTACCCCATGTGCGTGTGAATAGGCTTGTTTTATCAGTAAATGATTTACTATACACAGAAATGGTGAAAAGAAAAATTCCATACAAGGTGATAAAAATGTACGGATAGGCAAAGTGCTGCTTGAGAATTATAGTTTGATTTAGGGATATTAAATTTGCATTATGGCAGCTATAAAGCTTAACTCTTTGAATCTCAGCATCTACTGTAATTGAATAATTCTGTTCCCATAATTTTCCAGAACTGAAAATGTAATATGGATTAAAATGATTAAAGTGCTTAAATTGCTTTGTGCAACTATGAAAATTTAAATCTATAGTAAAAATGCTTAAATGCGCACGGATACTCTTTAATAATTTTGAGATATAACTTGAATTCTGCCAAGCCTGTGCAAATGCAGGCTGTATCTGGTAAGTGAAACACTATAGGCTGTATGCAGTCGTTCTCAAATACAGTACCTAATTTAGCATGAAGAGGAAGTAATCCTTCTGTTTTTGAGCATGCATTTAGAGTGAAATGGGTGGATTTCTATCTGCCTTGACATAACACCCTCAAATTAGTTAACGCACGTTGAAGTCTATGCTTAGTCTCGCTCAGGATAGATGTGATGCTTTCACTACACTTAACAGTTAGTGTGGAAGTTCCAAACATCAAGAGTTCTTGGAAAGATAGAGGTATTAAAATAACTTGATGAGAACTGCTCTATAAATGTGAACTCGCTACATTATTAACGTGCTTAAATTGTTTGCATAATTATGAAAATTTAAATCTACAGTAAAAATGCTTAATATACATTGATGCTTTTATAAAAGTCATGTATTCTGTAAGGTTTTGATTACAGGTATCAGAGGTAAGAATTTTGAACCATTATAGAATGCTGCATGTAAGCACTCCAGACTGAACAGGTCCCACACCTTATGTTCCCATTTTATTTATAGCTTGTGTTGAGTTGCTTGTCAGTTGCCCTGCATATTCGTTTCCCTGGAAAGTCTGCAAAGGCCACAAATACCTTTTCCCATTGTGTTCATCTGTGTTACCCTTTATTTGGTACCTTTTTTTCCTTGGTACATTTTAAATGCTAACTTCTAGGAACTCTTTAAATTCCTGCCCCTCATCGCTGTAGTTCTGTTCAACTGCCCCTGCTGGCTCCTTTATGTGCAAACTGAGGCAAAATAAGGTACCATATCTGAACATAAGAATGGTCATACTGGGTCAGACAAAAGGTCCGTTTAGCCTAGTATCCTGTCTTCCAACATGACCAATGTCAGTTGCCCAGAGGGAATGAACAGAACAGGTCACCCATTTCCAGCCTCTGACGAAGGCTAGGGACAGCATTCCTACTCAACATGGTAATTAGAATTGATGGATTTAGAGAATTTAAAACCATTTTCTGTTGAGTCTTGGGAATCCTCAAGTTTCATTTTTGGTACTTACAGCTGTGAATTTTATTGAAGAGTTGTTAGTGGTGTCAGTCCTTTTATTTGAAGAAACTTACCAATTATATTGATACAATAAATGGACTCTCCATCCTTTCCAAAGGCACTTAATCTGAAGGTTTGTGGTGCTGTTGATCCTGGATCAAATGAAGCTTCTAAGCTGCCCAAAGTAGTTCTTGTCTTGCTTCATCTTTCTTTCCCAAATTTCAGTCCAAGGATGTGGTTTGGAATGAAAAACATTCCATAGTCTTGAAATGGCTGGCTTGCAGATTGAATGACTGGAGTAATAGTTGGGAACCCACTAACAATTCTTCTGAGCAGTCAGGTACTAACCTGAAAAATCTTGCTTAAAGCTAGTGGTGGAATTCCAGAAAATCACCTATCCAGATTTTTCTGGAGACTGACATTGAGTTCAGTTCTCTTTGAAGGCAAAGGGGCAGTTCATTACAAGAAGTTTCAGTGATTAGAAGAACAGATTTTGAAATCCTGGTCTGGCTGCTATACTAACACTTCCATCTTTCCACATCTTTTCTTTATATAAGTATTTAATTGGGTCAGATTCTGACCTAATGGTTTCTGGGTTGTCAAATCACAAAATCTTGGCTCTTTATTTAACAAAGCCATCATCTAGAAAATGCAGTATAACTAATATTAAAGAAGCAATTTTTTTCCAGATATTAAACTCTTAACTTTTTGCTCCACAATTCATGTTGTGGATGATGTTTAATTTCTTATGGTAATCACATGACTGAATAAAGCACTAAACTTTGCATACATAAAACTGGACTCATAGGATACAAACTCCTTTCTAGAATATAAAATAGATTTTGTGCAAGTAGAAAGACTGGAGAGACAAATGCCACTAACATGGACATACACATCTTCCTCCCCACCCCCTCCACTCAACCTAATGTGGATAGCTGAAGGCTGCGCATTAAGCACAAAGGGCCTTTCACATGTAGAATTACTTGGCACTGGAAATTAACACTTCAGTTTCCTGGAACAAGGTATATAGTAATAAAGTATCTGTTTTATCAGCTCTGCTCTTCAAATGCACATACAAATTGCTTTTGGTAGGAGTGCTAAAGGAGCCCTCTTCATTGATAATGAAAGGCAAACTTTAGTCCTCAGAGGTGCACACTTCCTGTTCCGTGTGTAATGACCTTCATTAAACTCCCCACATATCCTTTTGTACATACAGCAATCAGCATTAGTCTTTCGTCATCCTCATGTATGTGTGACTTTCTGTTTGATTCATTAGTTGTACAACTTTTCATTTTTAAAGCATTCATTCCTTAATTTTGTTTTCCTCCATAGCCTCAACGTGGTCGTAGCATGTCAGTTTGTGTCTCCCATCTTTCTGCTGTTCCCTATCTGCCCTGCATCCCTTCCAGTATTCCTTCTACCCCACTGCCAGCGCTGTGTGCACCTCTTTCTCCTTCCTACCTTCGGACTGCCCCTGAAGAAACCTTTGCAGAAAAGCTTTCTAAAGCACTGGAGAATGTCCTACCCATGCACTCTGCCTCTCCACGCAAGCACCGACGCTCCAGCCTGCCCTCCCTCTTTGTCAGTCCTGTATGTGTTACTGTACGCCTCCTGGCCCATAAAGATAAGTTACCATTAAATACATCCTGGTTTTGGGGCATTTAATAAGTAAAGAAGAATTGGTTTTTTTAATCCTGTGCCCTACACAACTAGAGTGCTAATTCCTTTTCTTTAGGAAGCATCATGCTTATGTAACAACTGAGCAATGTTGGTACCTGAAGTTAGATGAAAGCTATAGGGCAAGGACTGAATGTATGACAGAGGATAAAAGGAGAAGTTGCACTCTGATCTCCGTCCCATAAGATAAGTGCATCTGCTTCTACTTTTAGGCAGTCAGTGAAATTCTTTCAAGTCCTGGATAAAATTCTTAATGTCAAATATGACCAGATATTAAAACTTGCTAGTAGCAGCTGATTTGCTCAAGAGGACTGTTTTTAATGGGAATGATGGCCTTCTAGATTCATAATAAAACAAATCAGAGGGATTCTGTCTGAGTAGCAAACAGTTCAAATTTTTTCTGTTTTGCTTCTGGAGGGAAGTTAAAATTGTGTTTCCATTGATTCCTGTATACATATTGTATTTTGAGATGGAAAGATTTCTTCTGTTACTGTAGATGTTAAATGCGTAAGGCATGAATGGATGTCTTAGTCTTTCCAGAGTATCTGGTTATGTTGGAAGTTAGAAGTATATTTGAGGCAGTTAATTCTTTGAGGAAATAGTTCCTTTTAAGAGATGTTGGAGAATATTCTTGTGTTCTGGAAATTGATTCCATAGAACATAAAGGGCATGTCCTTACTCACTGTGCTGGACAGTATGGGACTTTGCTCCTGTTTTTCCAGAGGGGAAATTGAAGTTATCTGTCGGATTTTTTTTTAAGCTAATTATAATCCATCACAATGTTATGGAGAAATCAATTGCTGATGGCGCTTGTAGAATCCTCCTCAGAGGGATGCTAATGCATCATGCAGTATATCACTGAACAATTGGGAACAGATGCTCTTGATTGTTACCCTGCTGTTGAATCATCCTTGAACCAGATATTCGTAACTGACTTGAATTTCTAGCTGATTGAAAACTACTACTTGGAGATTAACTCCAATAGCCTGTAGTAGCTGTCAGTGTCAGTAGACTGCACTGTTGCTGCTATTTTCCAAAGAGCAATTAAATCTATACAAGTAGTGTTGGTGTAGAAAGTATCAATTGCTATTGAAAATCATTAGTGCCAGATATAGTAGAAATGCACTATTAGAAATTTTATGAGACAGCCTTTCCTTGCCCTTCATTTTCGCCCTGGAGGGGAGAAGTCAAGATGAGCCTGCTCTAACATTTGAATCAAAGTGTCTTTGCTTTTGAGGACTTCCCTGCTGGTTTAGTACAAGTCGGTTCAGATTGGAGATGCAAGTGTAGTATAGTCCATTCTCAAGATTAATAGATGGCCTATCGAGTACTATAAATGGGAAGGGCAGTTGAAATCAACTCAATCTAAAGATGATGCAATGTGAGTAACTCTTAACAGATGGTTTAGTCTTGTGGCCTTAGAAGGGTCATTTCATGTTTTTACATATATAGCAAGTTACTGAATAATTTGAGAGAAACACCACCACATCTTCATGGGACATAATCAAAGTTCATTAACCAAAAACTGAAGATCTCTTCTCCCTTTCTTGACTTTGTGTGGACCTTTGTGTAAACTATATCAAGTGATTGTCTCTCTGCTAGCTAACTCAGTTTGTTCTTTTGGTACAACTTGCACACAAATCAGTAACTCGGAGGCTTAATTTAAAGGAGTTGTAGGTACCATGAAAATAAGTCTGTCATTGTCAGCAGAAATTCTCTTTTCTATGAACGAGAAGAAGGTTGTTGTAGAAAAGCTAACAAAAGCATGGTACTTCAGTATGCAGTTCTATTCACCATGGATGTATTTAATGGATATTTACATTTTTGTAATTTTCAAGCATTGTATGTGTTATAGATCATGAACTTGGAGTAGTCATTCTATAAGGTTACTTCACAGAGCTGCCTAGTGAGCTGTGCATGTTCATGTCCTTTCATTTCTAAATGTATGAATTACTTGTCTTGTTCATGTCAATGCAGCCTCAGTCCCTGGTGCATCCGTGTGGGGGAACACCAACATTCCCAGATTCCCAGATATTTTTCCCAACCATTCATGAACGGCCAGTGTCTTTCTCACCACCACCTGTCTGCCCACCAAAGGCTACCATTTCTCAGCGGCGCAAGAGTACCTCCTTCTTGGAAGCCCAAACATGCCATTTCCAGCCCTTGCTAAAAACTGGCCAGAGTTTACTTCCACCTGGTGGTAACCCCACAAATTGGACGTCAGAGGCAGTCGTTATGCTGGGCACTACAGCTCATACAGTCACTGGAGAGCCCCTACATGTGCAAGTCAGTTCAGCACCTCCTGAGGATGCTCACTCTAGAATGCCTCAAGAAGCCGTGTACTTTGTGGGCATGCACTACCAGCCACAATTGCCAGAGCATTACGATACAGTAGTGTATAATTCCTATGGGACTGAACAGTACTTGAAACAGCTGCCTGAACAGAAGCATGTGCAAGGTGGCCCTCTTCAGAGCTCTGTTTATGACTATCAGTCTGGGCAGAACTTCCTGCCAAGACATCTACAGAGCTTGAGACTGGATTCTGGAATGAGCCCTCTTTCACCATTGTCCAGTGTTCCAGCTCCATTAAGTGCAGATTCCACTCAGGTGAAGTTTCACCAGGCATTTGTTCCTCATTCTGCACCTGCTGTGCTTACTCACAGTAGTGATAGCAGAACAAGCTGTGTTTTTGAGTTCCATGTACACACACCAAATTTGGCTCCAGGAGAAGGGGGTATCTTACCCCAACGTGTTTACAGAAGCTGTCGGGGGTCATTGGATTTTAATCAGGAGGAGTCCAGTCAGGTAACAGGGTTGCATGGTCGCCTCCAACCTGTGACAGAGGAACAGTGTCACTATTTTGTTCCTGAGCTAACAGTGCCTAGTGTGGGATCTATCAAACAGAGCTGGCCAGAAAGGAGTCCAGAATACTCAAGTGATTCATCGCAGCTGACTTCCTCTGACACTGGTGATTTCCAGTCTCCTCCCCCAACAGTGGGGTCATCTACAGCTTTTGGTTCAGACTTCTCGTTGCCCATTGTCCAGGTCCCTCAGAAGGTATTTCAAGAGTCGCAACTCTTCATCTGTTTCCAACAGGGAGCCTCAGCTCAACAGGCCTTGTCCACCTCGCTTTCATCAGGACCACCTGCATTCTACCCTCAGGTTATGGGAGCAAACCATTCCAGAATGTTTCTGCTGTTTTGTCTTCCTTTACACAATTAAGGGCCCAGTTTCCCTTCTTTCCTTCCCCTGTATCTTTCCCTTCCATACTCCAGGTTATTCTAGATCTTGGCATTCAAAGGATATGTTTCTGCTATATCTGTAATATACTAGGATCTCAGTAGCTTGCTAGGTCTCACCTCAATAAGTGAGATGTCAGCAGCTACTGGTAATCATTCTACCTTCAGCCCTTGCAAAATCTTGGTAGGTGGGACTTTCTGATATTTGTAGCAAGTAGTCAGTACTCATCATTATTTTCTAGCTGATATTCAGCTCACAGATCCAGGTGACTGAAATGCAGGGTAGGCTTTTCATCCTGGCAAGGTTATGGATTGGTTACAGTAAGGGATGTCTCTGATTCTGTGTCAAGAAGTATTGTGACCAAAGAATCATTATTTTTCTGGTTATGCAGTCAGTGGCTTCAATTGAAGGATTTAATACCATTTAACAACATATTATTTGTACAATGGAGGATAGAAAAACTAAAAATACCAATTGTTCTGTGAACTGTCCAGACATAGGAGAATCTCTTACAACTCTTCAGAGGGATTCCAGGGGATGATTTATTTATTGAAGGAGTAGTCTAAAAATTACTTATGAATATTTAATTTCCAAATTAACTATTTTGATGAATTGAAATGTAAACAAGTCATTTGTACAAATTGTCTGAGATGAAGATTCATCAAGTATCACTTCTACATGATGACAGATCATGGTACTGTTAAAAATAAAACAAACTTGAATATTGCTAGAATTTACACATTGTATTGCTACTTGTAGTACTTTTACTTGCCAGAGCCAGGAGAGGACCTGCCTAAGAGCAGACTTCTCATCTCCCTCACTCCTGCCATTTCAGCAGTGAAGTTAAACTTGCTTCACTGTGCAAGTTGCACAGGAGATTAGTCCATTTCTTGAAGTGGAGGAAATGGTTAGGAAGAAAAGGAGCTTTGCTGTTATTCAGTACATAAATGTAGAAAGGTCAGGAACCAGGAATTCAGTTTGAATGCTTTCCTCATGGAATAGTGCAGACTACTTTTCTTCCCACTTCCCAACATGAGTAGAGGATTGTGGTGATAGCTGTTTCAGAATAGAGCTTTTAAACACAAGTCTGGTGTGGGTTGCTACACCTATATAGCAGTGTTATTTCGGAATAACTGACATTATTTTGAAATAACAGTGTGTGTCTACATAAGCCATTATTTTGAAATGTCAAGATGGAGGACTTCTTACTTCGACTCCTGTAACCCTCATTTCAGGGGGAGTAAGGGAAAATTGAAAGAAGTGTGTTCTTCCTTCGACTTCCTGCTGTGTAGACAGCACCAAAAGCTGAATTAAGCTATTTCAAGTTCAGCTATGAAATTGATGTAACTGAAGTTGCGTATCTTCATTCGACTTTTGCTCTACAGTGTAGATGTGCCCTAAGGGAGCCATCTAGAGCTTAGTGAACCTTCATTGTAAGCAGAGTGGAGTGGAAGTCTAGTGAAGTGCTCTGAAACAGTGTTTATAGGGTAGTGTAGTCCCAAATTATTTTGGTACACAGGAAACCACTTACTGAAGTTTTTATGTTCAAGACTAAACGAATGGCTGGAAGAATAGCCTAAAATAAGAGAGGTAAAATGTATCTCATGTATGGATTACTAAGAGTGCTCGATTAATGTGTTAAAATAATGCATGATTTAGGACTTTGTGTGGCCTCAAGTTCAAGCTGCATTACCTTAGTTACAATTTAAATAGCACATACTATTAGGCAAAACCTTCAAGGAACTATTAAGAGTAAAAGAAAAAGCTTCCCTGGATGGCACTGTGCTTTCCGAGGGTTTTTCTTAAACCACAGTAATGCTTTCCAGAGTATTCCTGGAAACAATATACTGCAGGTTTGTATGCCAACGGGAATTTTGTAGCTTCAGTAATTTAAAAGAATAATACTTTACACAATATTTTATACAACTTTCTAAATGCACTAGAAATTTTCTACTTTTTCAGCCTTCCCACTGAAGTGACAAACTAAGAAAGGGATCTGAATGATCTTTCCCTTTCTGGGTTATACTGAAGTATAGAGATATTGCATGTCCCAGTGTCTGATACAGAAGGATAATATTTAGTCCAATGGGAGGGAAACTGCTGAAGAAGAGGTATTTGATATGCCGTTTCTTCAGACTCTTCTCCATTCACTGTAATGTCATTCATCCATTCTTTTATTTGTTAATTCATTCAAAGTTGTTGTTTTTTTGTGTTAGCTAGGACCTTCCGTGTCTCCAATAGCTAACCCAATTTATGGGCTCTGAACATTGCAGTGTTGAGAGTCTGAAAATAATTTGGCATGTTTTTTGACATGCCTTTCAAAGTGAGCCCGGGGGGGGGGACCACAAACACACACACACACTTTAATATTAGTTTTAAAACTCTGTATCTATCTTCAATTTATGGTTGAGGATACAGAGTTAGTATTTTTTCACTTTTTTTCTATTCCTGGCCACCTAAATGTGCTCAGTGTGTAAATGTTAAGTTTAATGCTTTTGTTCTTAGCAACTATACTGGGACAGATCCTAAAGAAAGATGAAACTGGTAGGCTAACTTGCCTAATGCAGAGGGCTGTTTGGGTTGTACTTGTTTATATTGGTTGTTTTGGAAATTTTAACAAAAAGCTCATCACTTCCTCATAGTGCACTGCACTGCTGAATAGCTCCATAATACAATTAAGCCATAGTACCATTGTGCGTTCATTAGACGATTGTTTTAATTAGACCACTCTAGTCAGAAACTATAGATGCAGAAGCCAGTAATTGCCCAGTATGATTGTACCTGTCTCCTTTTCTCCCCCCATAGACACAGGTGCAAGGGCAGCCAACCTCAAGTAGTATATCAGTGGGGGTGCCATCTCAGCCTACACAACAGAGTCAGCAGGTAAGAAAAACAGTTCCTAAAGCCAGGACTAATGTGTAGTAAGTTTGACTTCCAGTTGGATTTTTATGGGAGAAAGTGAACAGGAAAATATTTTCAGTATTGTTGTCAGATTGTGGGCAAGGGAAGAAGGTTTTAAGTTCAGATAGAAAGGATAGAGGCTTCTTGGTGCTGATGCTAGGCATAGCTGCCAACTCTTATATATTCTAGTGATTATTTTATACCTGATAACTAATTTTCACCTAAAATATGTTACTGAAGTTTGCCAGAATTTAAAGAGAAATCTATGGACGACGTGCTTGAGTAGGAAACGGTCTATTTCTCTACCCTCACAATCTCAAGCTTACCACACCTAATTCGAGTGTATACTTGGTTTTGAAATTGAAATTGTGTAAGCTTAAGTACCAGTGGACTATGGTGCTTACAGAATATCACTTTCCAAATCTTCCCAGTGATTTTTCTCAGTGAGGTTCCCTGTGCATGGGTATTTTCTCCTAAGCTATGGTAAAAGGAGTTTTGTCTAGATTTTGAGCAAAAAGCTGAATAACTGAAAGACATATTTTTCTGGGCACTGATGCAGTTATTTTGTAGAATCTTCTTGTGAATGTTTTCTAAGCCTTTCAGGAAGATGCTTAATCTCTTTGATTTTCAGAGAGAGCTCAGACTAACTGCTTGATATAAGTAATATAAGATCTAACAAAATGATTGGGTATGTGCAAACATGAAGATGAAACACTAATCTTTTGATAGCTTACCCTTTTATCCTTTGGGTGAAATCTACTTGAACACATACAAATCTGAGGAATGCTTTTATCTAAAGAGAAAATAATCTCTTGCTATCTTTCCTCCTTGCAACAGAGTGCACAGCAGCTGGCTTCTTCCCAACAGGCAGGACAGTACCAGTTGCAGCAGTCATCCATTGCCAGTGGAGCTACCCCATCACAACCAGTTAGTCAAACACCACTGATCATGCCGATGCCTCAGGTACCAGTGGGGACTCAGGTAACTAACCTTGGTCTTTTGCAAACTTAAGAGAGTCGTCCTTTCTTCCCAGAATTTTTTGGTTACAGCTTTTATTTGTCTGCTGTCTTCCCTAATAGTTCAGAGGTGACATATTATGCCATGTTTAAAAATTTGGCAGGAACAGAGATGTATGTCTTAAATCTCTTTCTTTGGAATACATGGCAGAAATTCAGTAATTCAGTTGAGGAACAACAGCACTTGAAACTGAGCCTTTGCTTGCATAGAGGTCTTAGACAAACATCTGGAAAGACTAGTGTCACCTGCAGTTTGAGGAGTTTCATATGGCATTGTTGACACTTCATGAACACAAATGTAAATTGGATGGAGTACATTTCTCTTACATAATGACAATTTATTCTCCAGTTATGTATACTAAACCAAGTATACTGCCTCTTCTGAACTGTTGTCCTCTTTTTTTTTTTTAACCAGTCTTCCTCATTCACTACTTGGCCAAGATGCATCTGATACCAAACGGTTATTTCAGATTGTCACATTTTTTGATATCTTGAATGTGAATGGTGATAAGCCACAAAAACCATTTTAGTTTCATTTGACCTCTTTATCCAATTCTGTTGATTGCTGATCAGCTGACATGACCTTTGCCATTCTGTGTATGTTGACAACGGTGGCTAACGCTCTTAATTGCTTCCTGCTTATACCTGAAGTGGGTACATGTTCCCGTTTTTGTTGTGGGGTTTTCATATTTTCCCAATAGGTAAGGGAGGGAGGATTGCTTGTAGAATTAGAATGATAGCAGAGTCCATTTATGTACATTTTGATGGTGCAGCAGTGTTGACACCTGTCTGTTCCATCGTAGCACAATGTACAAGTTGCAAAAACTGGAACACAGAAGGGATTGTAAAAAAGGTGACCCTTTGGAACAGCAGTCAATTCTCAAGCCACTCTGCCAGCTACTCTCCCCACTCCACTCTTACAGGGCATGATAACTTAAGCAATTCTTTTTTTTCTTTGACTCATACATTAAAAAAACCTGCTTTCTGCAACCCTGCTTCCTAAAAAAGCCTATTTCTATTTTCTTTGCATCCCCAGCTTCCTGTTTCCCAAGCAGTGCCGATCATCCAAGGCGAACCTCAGTTACCTGTTGCAGCACCTTCTCTCCCTCAGCCTTCAGTTGCCCCAACCATTCCAATTGGCTCTCATTTTCTTCCTATGGGACAGCCCATGTCAACTTCCCTGCTTCCCCAGTTTTCAGTCTCTCATGCACCTGTGGCTCAGCCAGGCTTCCAGTCTTTGCCTGTTTCTATGGCAGGGGGCA